ATATAGGGGTGTTTTGATGCCACAAACACTTCCATAGGCTTATACTTCAATGTAGAAATGCTTCAAGGGACTTACAAGGATTCAAAACAACTCATGGTCAAGAAGACATGAGTTTACAGCTGTAAACCCATGAGTTTCCGACCATAAACTCCATGGGTTATGGTCTTTAGGGAGTAAACTCACAAAGAGGGTTCCCTTGAACCCTAAAACTCAATAGCCTTGTCCTACAACACTTAAATGCAATCCTTAGCACTTATAACACTTATATAAAGTGTTTAACATGTTTTAGGATGTCTTAACCTTGTTAGTTAACTGTTTAAAGGCTAATTGGTTACATATATGTGATATTATATGTTAACTAGGATCATAGAGTGTGTGCAAGTCTTCACTTGCCACCTAGCATCCTATACAGTGCGTTCAATCCCAACCACTCGCTACAGGTGAGTTTATACCCCTTAATCTATCTTTTAAATGTTTTTAAATGCTTTTATGGGGGGATACAAGTTGAATCATGTTAGTTATTATATCAATAACATGTGATTGATAACTAGCATGCAAATAGATTTACTACACTTTTAGCGGTTTTACCAAACAGATTACTTCAAATGATTTTCCAAAACATTTTTACTAGTTTACAACTCTTTATCAAACTGTCTTACATACTAAATGTTTCTTTTCAAAACTCTGTTACGATTGTGTTTCCAAAACAAAGGATTCATTATACTTTAAAATGTTCTTATCAAATAAACTATTTTCAAACTGTTTTACAAACTGACATCAAGTCACCTTTTCTTAGTTCTTCAACTCTTCAAAGGTTTTTACAAAACTTCTTTTATACTTTTATATTGTCAATTGCATGCCTAGATATGCATAGTTATATAAGTAATGTTTGAAGGACTTAGGAAGGCTAACCCGCCTTATTTCCTTTTCCCCGTTGGGATGTGGTCTGGTAGGATATCGGGTATCCGTCTGAAGGTCGTTTAACTATTAGTTATATATCATGTGTACATATATAGTCATAAAGGTTCTTCCAGTCAATTCAATACCCTTGGGTAGCAAGGGTATACTTCCATGTTCTTACGTACAAGTTATATTACTAGTAAGCTACAATAGGCGTAGTTTAGGGTTTTACTAATACTAATACTAGAATAATGAATCATACAAAGAGTCGGTTCATGCATGAGTCAATACTTGCTAGATAGAGAGAACACACAATACAGCTAGTACACACAGAACATTACAATACTTGCTAGATAGAGAGAATACACAATACAGCTAGTACACACAATACATTACAATACTATACAGAGAGATCATACAGGCTAGACAGAGGGAGAACATACAATACAGCTAGCATACATTACATATACATTACATTCAGTTATGTGAGCCATTAAACGGGTCATGGCACTACCTTCCACGACCGTTTTTGTATCCAGAATCCTCTTAATTGGGGAGCGTATGAGTTTGCATATAGATCTATACTGGATTGACTATCCTACACCTTGTTGCTCGCTACAGTGGGACTTGCAAGTCTACGGGTGCCAAATGTCATTTCTTACGGCATCTTACATCGTCGTTTTACTATTGAGTCGGTAGTAGGATATAGGCTGATCACATGTTACTTTCAGTTTCATTTGGTTTAAGGTAGTTAGTACAGCAATATTCACTTATTATAAAACTACAGTACATTATTATTTCCCCATTACATTTACTTCGTGAACATTCACACGATGCACGGTCATTAGTACAGTAGTATTGAGTCGGTAGCAGGATACAGGCCGATCACATGTTACTTTAAATTTCATTTGGTTTAAGGTAGTTAGTACAACATTATTCACTTATTATAAAACTACAGTACATTATTATTTCCCCATTACATTTACTTCGTGAACATTCACACGATGCACGGTAATGTAAATACTTTATTTTTGGTTAATGATAGTTAGATTTGGGAAAATACACAATCTTACAAGAGACACAGTCAGATACTAGATGCCTTGGTAGAAGGCTACTTTCAGTAGGAAGCATAGGGTTTTCTAGGTTATTCAAAACTTTTACATACTCATACTTACAAATACAGTCTTACAAATACATTATTATAAATACAAACACTAAAATACTTATGATCTCACCAGCTTAAAAGCTGATACTCTCTTTCAAAATAACTTGTATCCTCAGGTCAACAATAGACAGGTACCGATGCAAGGTTTAGAGAAGATGGAGCTCGTTCAAGACTCATCTTTCATTTTGATTCATACTTTAGTGTCTATTAAACATGTCAAAACACTTATATTAAAATTATATTATTAATGCAATGGATGATGTTGTTGCTTGTTTACTACTATTCATTGTTGTGATATTGTACATGACGTCCTCCGCCCTAGAACGTTTCCGCCATTCATGGTTTTAGGGTGTGACATCCTGCTAGATACTCATACTCAAAACAATTCACTGATAGCAGAAAACTCTAGGCTAAGGCATCACAAATCAGGCCACCCTAGTCCTAACATATGATTTACGTAGCCTATTCTCTAGCATGTAATATATCTCATAAAATATCTTGAAACACAAAATGAGGGTATTTTGGGAAATCACCGCTCGGGCTCTGGCTGATTGTACACACTGTTCTGGCTCGTCTTCTCTTAAACTCTTTCTCATTTTTAGAAAAAATTATCTCTTTTGAAAATCTTTCTCAAATCCTTAGTTTGAGTCCAAACACACCCGAGGGTGCATCCGAATCCCTCAAACCAAGGCTCTGATACCAACTTGTAACGATGTAAATTTTCAAACAAATTTCTCATTTTCAAACACAATAAAACTCATTTCATAATTCTCAAAATTACATATGTCTCAAATGTCATCAAATAAACACAATCCCATAATCATAAAAACAATCTCCCGCCAGTGTGTACAATCATGTCGGTGCCTTGCCGTGATCCTCGGAACTACCTGAAACACATAACACATAACACTGTAAGCATAAAGCTTAGTGAGTTCCCCAAAATATCACACACAGCACATCAGCCACTCGAGGCTATAACTCAATAAGACCCTCCGGTCAATGTGTCTCAGTGGGACCCTCCAGTCCCACAACTCAGATGGACCCTCTGGTCCCTCAACTCAGCAGCTCAATATAATACACAGTAAGCATAACACAAAACAAATAGCAGGATATCTCAAAACACAGCTCATTCACATAAGACCCTCTGGTCACACATAAAGTTACCACACAAGGTAAGTATAGTGAGAAGACTCACCTTGTAAGCTAGCAAATGAAACCTCGAACTCGGAAATCTCGAACTCTACCCACCAGTATAGCCTCCACCTAACACATAATAATTATCTCTAATTAATATCGGCTCCCAAGAACTAGGCTAACCTTCTACACTCACAGAAGGGTGAAAGGACCATTTTACCCCTCCATAGGCTTAATAGTCCACAATTTGACCAAACCCTAAAAGTCAACAAAAGTCAACAGAAGGGAGTACGATGCGCGTACTCAGTCGCTACGTTGTGCATACTCGGCTGCCATGCAGACATCGGAGATGCTCGACCCCTACGCCACGCGTACTGGGATTACGCCCAACGTAAACCCCAGTTTCACACTCCTCTCATTTTTGGTCTTAACCAGTTAAGACATAGGCTCATATCTCAGATCTGGGCTCCCTAATGTCTCTTAGTCCATAAAGTCAGTGACTTTAAGCCTTTGCATGGCAGAATAGGTCACAAACACTCAAAACACCCATTCCCTTTCCTTATGTAGCTCATAAATCATGCATGGATCACTCCTAACGCCCAAGATTGGATTTTTACAAATCTACTACACATATTACACTTAAATGGGGCAGATCAAGGTCTCTGGAGTTCATTATCTCATATACAATTAGCTAAATGTCAATCAAGGTTCTCGAAGTATACCTGGACTTGGGATGTTACAGTTTTAGTCGTATTTGAAAAGGAAATAATTGACTGAAGGTTAATTAACATTTAGCTAATTAGTTGTTTTTTAATACAGTGTATAAACAATTATAAATTTATAACGGTTAATTATTACATAATGAGTTATGAAAATATTTTTTTAATAACTATCTATCAATTGTCATTCCAAAATAATAATAATAATAATAATAATAATAATAATAATAACTATTAATTTATAGATATGAACTTTAAAAATATATATTAATTAAATACTTTTTCCAGTTTTTTCGGTTTAACCAAAATCATGAAAATTTAACTAAAACTAAACCAAATAATATATCATTATTCGGTTAACCAAACCGAATTAACCAAATAAACCAAACATCATTTGATTTGGTTCGATTATTCGGTTTCAATTTTTAATCACACCCCTACTCATATCTATCACATAAGTTGACACCCCTACTTGTATCTCTCACATAAGTTGGTTTATGTTTGTGTTTAACCGTGCTTTTTTACAAAAGTGTTTAGTATGCTGAAATATCTTTTTTTTTTCTTTTCAACTTTTATCTTGTGTTGTTTTCTATAATAATGATTAAAAAAGAATTCAAGTTTGGAACTGATAATGATTGTACATGAATTATGTACTTTTACTGACTTTTTGGCATGATATAAATCGGTAAAATAATTTTATGGGTATCCATCCATATTCACCGATGCATCCTAATACAAGGTTAAGAATTTTATCCAAAAACCCCAAACAACAAAATATGACAATTTTTTCTTATACTGTAGGCTGTAGCAGTATACTTGCTACTTTTTGGTTGGAAGTATGATTTCTAAATAACATATTGGTCAGAATCAGATTGCTTGATTAATTATCCAGTGATTATGTCTATGTTGTTGACTTTTGTCTGTTTCATTCATTCATACAAAAACTGTGTCTACTATTATTTTGAATAAGAAGAGAATATATATATATATATATATATATATATATATATATATATATATATATATATATATATATATGATGGTGGGATTCATGATCTTTTAATGTATGAATAAATTTCGTTGCTAAATGAACTGGCATCTTAAAGAGTTGCTTTTATCATTCACATCTAAATTAAATAAATAAATAATAAATAAATAAAAAGTTGTGATAAAGATAAAGATGAGATTGTAGTTGTTGGGAAACATATTTTATCAGTCATACTCAATACCTAATAATTAAACAGCAAAACTTATCTCTTCAACATAACTTTTTTTTTTGTCTTGGCAAAGCGTTCCTGAGGATCCAAACGTACCTCTCGCTGCATGGCCTCCCACAAATCATCAAACTCAAATCCCTCCCGAAACCACTCCAAGAGTGACTGATAAAGTATTCTTCTATTTTCATCCCAGGCCTTCCTTAGCATGTCACAACTATGAATATTCCTTTTTTTCAACTCATAAATAATTTTCCCAAATCTCTTATGCCCTTCTGTCTCCGGCTTCAACACACTCGAAGGTGCAGCAGCCATAAACTCACGCACACGTTTCACACATGGCAACACAACACCCTCCAACAAAGAATAACAGAAAACACTCACTCTCACTTCAACTCTCTCGTCTTTCACAGGCAAACTGTGGAGTGGGAGCTGCCATAAGTGGTCACCAAAACTCGTATTCACCCAATTATAGACTTGGTCGGTTTGAGGGTTGTAATATGGCTTAGGCTCTGTAAGTGGAGCAGAGAAACTACAAAGATAGGTAGAAAATCTCGCAAGCCATTCCGGTTTTACCCTTGTGGCTCCATGTATATACGCCCGCTTACGCTCCACAAGCTCACTGAAAACCAAAAACTCAGGGGCAGTTCTGGAAACAGACGACCATCTGTGAAGGAACACCGTTTCGTTTACTTTGTGTGCTTCGTATCTTGTTGCACTCACTTTTCTATCTTCCTCTGATAACCCTGAAATCCCTCTCACACGTCTCGCAACTCTATCTGCCCACCCAGCGCATATCGCTTGCCCCAAAAGCTCCTCTTCGTTCAACATCAGTGGATGCTTATTATTGGAATTGGTAGAAACCATCCAAGTGCTTTCTACATCCTCTATGCTACTGTGATTCCACAAAAGATCCGATTGTGTATCAGTATCGCATGGTTTTTGGTTAAACACTAAATGGAGAAGCTGCTTTCTCAGCTTTGACATTTCCTCCATGGTTTTAAGGTGTAACGAATGCTCCTCGCAGAATTGTAACTGGTTTTCTGATTGTTCGAAGCACTGAAGGGCGTAAGCTACAGTTAAGGCATCACTTGTAGGGTTGGAGAATTTTGCACGGGACGTTTTGGATGCTTCTTTGAGTTTCTTTTTCTTCTTTTTATCATCCTTACTTATGATGAGGTTTTCATCTCCTCCTTCAAACTGCATTACGAAAGGATTTGACAAGCTCAAGGCTGCAGCAGCTGCAAGTGCATAACCTAGAATTAAGTTTTGTCTTGTTGATGAACCTCTTCCCTTGTTGTTCAGGATTTGAATGACTGTAAGAAGCATTCGCGAATGACGAGGACTCATTGGATAATGGGACATAGCTTTTCCTAGAGGCGTTAATTTTTCATCGCAATCCAAGGCTTCAAGAGACTTTAAACAAACCTCTGCTTCAACCAATGATTTAGCTTCTGGGGGAGTAGGGAACGGAAACTTTGTTATCTGAAACAAGTTGAACAAAATATATATATATATATATATATATATATATATATATATATATATATATATATATATATATATATATATATATATATATATATATATATATATATATATCAATGATAAACACAAATCTCAGACAAGTAACTAGAAAAAGAAATATCATAATGCCAAGGTCACAGCAGATACACATACTTGAATCCTAAGAATATCATATCAAATACAAAAACATAGATTATTTCTCTCTTCAGTTTCCCTTTTGTAAGAAGAGGAATTATAGTGTTGTTTGTTTCACACATTCACTGCACCCTTTGTCCCAAAAAAATATGCAACGTGTCACTTGGCACAATATTAAATATACACTAATTTGCAATTTTGGTCCCCTGTGTTCAAGTGTTTTTTGTATCAGATCCAAAAAAGAATAGCTTTGCATATTTGGTCCTTATTCAAGGTTTCCACAACATTTTTGGTCCGTTGTCATGTAAAATGACTACTTTGCCCCTCCGGTCACTTTTTATTATTGAAATGGCTATTAAATTAGAAGGCCTACAACCCACAAGCCACCCTCCCTCTCAACATAAAAAAGGTAAAAAAGTCATTTTATGAGACATGGACCGAAAATGTTATGAAAACCTATAACAGGGACCATATTTACAAAAATATTCTTTTTTGAACCAGTCCGAATTCCAAAAGAACCACCTAAGCACAAGGACCAAAAGTGTAATTTAGTCTTAAATATAAAGACAAACAATCAAATGTCTTAAATGTCCCCTTAATAAGAACATAACTGAGGAAGCTTATGAACCAAAATTTAACTTACTATGATTACTAATGGGCCAAAAAGAAGTAGCTGGAACAGCCCAAAATGTCCAGTTTTACATTTTTTGGACAGATGAGTCGGTAACAACCATGTCTTTGTATGGTTCAACCAAAAGAAAATGAAAAGTAGAATTAGAATTAGAATTAGAATACCTCTTTAATGCCCATGGATTTCATGAGAAGAACCACACCATCAACCGGAATTTTTAAGATTTCAGCAGTAGAAAAGTCAGGGAATATGTTGTTGAAGACAGCAGAAGAATAGAGACGATAACAGTGGCCAGGTGCTGTTCTTCCAGCTCTTCCAGCACGTTGAGCTGCAGATGCTTTGCTTATCCACTGCACCTCATATGTTTCCATCCCATTTGAAGGATTATAATTCTTAACCTTTTCCCTTCCTGTATCCACCACATACTTTATCCCTGGGATTGTCAGAGACGTTTCAGCAACATTAGTAGCAACCACCACTAACCTCTCTCCTTCCTTCATATCCTCAAACACACGAAGCTGTGCAGATCCAGGAAGCATCGCATACAGGGGCAAAACCGTCAATGCACCCGTCCCCTTACGGGACCCATCATCCTTCTTTTCCTTTTCCTTTTCTGAATCTGATTCTTTCGGATCAGATTCACAACTTGTTTTTTTCCCAGACAAAGCTTCAAAAGCTGCTTTCAGTGAAGCAAAGTTTTCATTTTCTCCCAACACAGATTCGTTATCTTTAACAGAATCCAAATCGCTTTCTTCATCAGATTCATCCTCATCATCATCATCATCTGACAAATCACAATCATCATTATCCGTTTGTTCCTCCATCTTAAATGCTTCATCAATCTCCTTCAAGTCAAAGTCTTGAGAGACAACAACTTTGTTATTTAAATTTAAATTTAAATTTACGTTGGAGTTGGAATTATTGGTCATCTGAAGAGATGCTTTACGCAGCTTACGACACAAGTATTCTACTTCCCTCTGTCCAGTGACAAATACAAGTATTCCCCCAGATGGAAGTCTCTTATGAATTGACAAAATCTTTTTATATGCTTGCCCAATGTAGTCCACAACATCTGTTCTCTTTGAGAAATGTGTAGTCACTGGATATTGTCGACTTGGAACCTGGATTACAGGTGGCGGAGTAGCAAAGATTTTACTTTTACCCCCAGACACAAACTCCTCAACCCGCATTGTGGCACTCATCAGTATCAGTCTCAATGGAAAAATCTTCTTTTCAGGGCTAATTGTCTTTCCTGTTGAAACCTCATACGCTTTTTGCTGCTCATGTATGTTCTGCCATTAAACACAACATCATGAGTTCATGACTCATAATAACCAAATTAAGAAATACAAATATATAGGAAAGATGAGAAAATTTGTATATTGTATCAATTTGCAGGTTTTAACACTATTGAATATACAAGTTACTTTAGACTAACAAGCAAAAAGATATTTGATGATTTTAGTTAAACGGCTGATGTGTTTACTGTTTACAAGACAAACATAAAGGAGTAATAAGTAGAAAAAATTCATGAGCAATTATTTAACTTAGAGAAAATTACACGAATGGTCCCTATGGTTTAGGGTAATTTAACTTATTTTTTTAACTCGGAAGGTCCCTACTGTTTCTTTTTCTTATGCGTTTGGTCCTTGTCTTACCTAAAAAGACTACTTTTCCTTGATTTTTTAATTTATTTAAATTTAAATAAACACACCCCAACCCCATCCCCCTCCCCTCACCTTACCTACCCCACCATTTTTCCCTATTTAAATAATATTCTTTTTAGGTAATACAGGGACCAAGTGCGATAACAAAAACAAATAGTAGGGACCAAGTTCGTAACAAAAACAAACAGTAGGGACCAAACGCGTAACAAAAACAAACAGTAGGGACCTTCCGAGTTAAAAAATAATAATAATAAGTTAGGGACCAAGCGTGCAAATTACCCAAAACCATAGGGACCATTCGTGTAATTTACTCTTTTAACTTATAAAAGCAAAGTATAATAAATGAGGTAAAAAAAGAGAAAATAGTTACCAGGCGTTCGACTATGATGCGAGATAGCATCCCAGTAAGTATGTCTGTATTCAGACTCCTCTCATGAGCCTCATCCAATATTATGGTTGAGTATCGCTTCAACAAAAAATCATTCTGCAACATAAAAACAAATTAAATAGAGGCTTTGGCTTTTTTTTTTTTTTTTTTTTTTTTTGTTGAGGAAGGGTAGGAAACCTGTAATTCTCTAAGCAATATTCCATCAGTCATGAACTTGATAGAGCAGTTGTCCCCAATCCTCTTGTCATGCCTAACCTGGAAACCAACCTCCTTCCCTAGGCCAAGCCCAAGCTCAAATGCCACCCGCCTTGCAGTTGCAAGCACAGCCACACGCCTCGGTTGTGTAACACCAATAATACCACTGCTTTTTGAACCAAATCCAGCTTCATATAAAAACTGCAACAACAATCAAAATATAAAATTCCTTCAATATATGCTTATGATATATAATAATAGTATATATATATATATATATATATATATATATATATATATATGTAACCAAATCCAGCTCACCTTACCTGAGGGACTTGTGTAGTCTTACCACACCCTGTTTCTCCACATATGATGACACTGATATTCTCATATATGGCTTCCATAATCTCCTGCTCCATCATCACTATAGGAAGATCCATCCTATTCCTTTCAACCTCCTTTGGCCTGCATACACCAACCACTACATGTTTCGGTCGTGAAGGAGCCACACCCTTTGCCTTTGCATCTACCTCCTCTAACTATATCCATAAAAATGTATATGATAAAAATCAAGATTTTTTAAAAATAAATAAATAAATAAATAAAAAGCATACCATGCTTCTACGATGGCTAGTTGTTGCCAATGAATCTTCATGATCTTCTGTCATAGATGGGTTGGTATGCTCATGATCAACAACACTCTTAAGGTCTAATTCAGCTCCTTTGGTAAATGGTGCTTCTGGAGAAGGTGGTGGACTGATATTTGGGATTTCAATATCTGTGTTCATGGGTTGACTAGAGACATTCTCATTGTCAACTTGGTCAGATGAGTGAATTACACTTGAATCACTTTCGTTGCATCTTCTTTTTGAAGGCCAATCACTGTGTTGCAGTACCAAACCTGTCTTGGCAAACTGCACTTCTCTTCTGCGTTTCTCACGCATAGTTTCTACCTACAAAACAAATAAAGGAGGGCAATTTGGTCATTCTCCTGTAACTCGCTCGCTATCTTAGAATTGAATTCAGTTAGAAAAAGTTTTGGGAAGACCACATGAGTGAATTCAGGTTTATCATTGTGTTTCTTTGTTTCCTAGTTCTATTCATTCAATTGCACCAAGGAAGTTTTTTAAGATGTGGACAAAACCCAAACCTGGCCCAGATTGCGTGAAGACCACATGAGTGAATAAGCATCCTCTTGAAGTTTGTATTTACTGAAAAGTTAAACCAAAACAAATGCAGTCAAAAAATAGAAACATACACATGGGTCATGCATCAAACAGAAGTTCACATACTCTAATGTCTCTAAGCTTTTAGATAACATGGCAGATTTCTCCTTTTCTTCCTGCATACAACAAGAAATCAGTCACATGTGCACCAAACAAGTTTAGAAAGAGGGAGGAACGGATCAAAACCTCAAGTTTCCTCAGCTTTCTCTTCTGGGAGTTGCTTGGTTTAAGTTTTTCCTTTTTCTTTGACTTTAGAGGTCCCTTCAAAAGGAAAAGTATCAGCCCATTAAGATCTTGTGAAAGAAAATGTAAGGATGATTGAAAACAAATTACCAGTAGGGCATACCTGCTTCAAACTTCTCTCTTTACTTTTCTTCTTCTTCTTTTGTGTCATCATGATCATGTTGCTATCGCCTATCATCTCCATTTAAGCTGAAAAAAACAGCATGAATATATAACTCAACCACTAAGGGAGTGTTTGGGATTTGCTTATTTAACCAAATAAACACTTTTTGATAAAAAATAAAAAAAAAAAAGTGTTGTTATCCTCTTGTCCTCCATAACTCGAATTGTTATTGATGTGTTAATGATGTCATTCTTGTAAATTATAAATTTGTACTATTGTTAATGTTCGGTTTTTTCTTTCAATCTGCCTTGCCTGTTTGTAATTTGTAACAAATGTTTACTTCATTCTTACAACCAGCAAGAATTCAGATTTGGCTGTTTACCAGTTTATTTTTCTCAAAAAATTGTTGCTGCATTAAACCAATTGAAAACACTATACACATGAACTTCTTGGTACTATGAACAGAAAGAATTTGTATTATTCTAATTGTTCCAAATGTACTAAGCTTCACTTTCATAAACCAGTATATGAACTTTATTACTTGTTCTCAGGTAGTGTCAGTGTGTTGTCTTTAAAGTTAATATGAATCAGTTTTTTTGATGTAAAATTACTTTTTACAATAAACTAATAGATGTTGAAAGCACATGAAGGAGCAGAAGTTGACATCATTGATAGATTGCCAGCTCGGGTTGCACATAATGAACAACATAAAACACATATATATCAATATCATACAATATTAACACAGAAATCATACATAAGGTCTGTAACAACAAGCACACATATTAGAGACTAATCGAACGATTAATTTCAGCTGCTTCATCTAATCAGACAAGCATACATTTGAACCGAACCAGAAAAAAGAAAGTGACTTACCAGGAGACCGGAGGAGAGACCGTAGCTGGTCGCGCCGTCGAGCGGAGGTCTGGAGGCGGATATAGGAGAAGTGTCGATGGTGCAGCCGTGCAGGTGGGAGAGAAATTGCAGTTGTGCTCGTGAAGAAGAAGCGTGGAGGCTGCTGTATCTGAACGACGGGAGCTGTGAACGAGGTATAGGTTTTGAGGGTATTAATGTAATTTTATCTTTTATACTAGTTTGAAGCCCTTTAAAAATAATAATAATAATAATAAAAAAGATAATGATTGAGAATTTTGGATTTTATTCCCATTTAATCACTAATGTTTTTTTATTATATATTTGTCCGAACAATTAAAATTGTTCATATTTTACTCTTATGTCGGTCATAATGGTAAAATGTGAAATGTTTCAATAGATCAGTGGCAAATAGATAATGAAAAAAAAAATTTAGTTACCGGTCATAAGGACACAATGAACAGTAGATAATAAAAAAAAATTTAACGACTAAATGTGAATAAAATCGAAAGTTCGTTTCCCTCTAAAAAAGTTCAATAACTAAATGTGAACAAATTTCCTTTTGTATTGTGTTTTAGCAAATTATTTATCTTTTGTCAAATTCTAGCAACATTTGTTGATGAAGAAAATCTATGAAATAAAAAAACAAAACCCAAAAAATATATTAAAAAAACGAAAAACCAAAACCGAAATATGAAACTAATTGTTTAGTATTTTCCAAAATAAAAAATCAAAATTTCCAATCTGATTTTGGTTTTACAAAAAAAAAATGAACAATTCTCACCTATAGCTATTAAGAAATTATGTTTCATAGTAAGAAATTACGTTGTATTCTGAAGAGAAAAATTAAAAACCTTATTTTTTTTAAGTAGTTATTTAAATATGAATTGTTTTTTCTAAAACCTTTTAAAATTATGAGTGATTTTTTTAAAGAAAAAAATAACGACGTTTTAATAATTGAATTTATAATTATTTTTTTTCTAGAAAAATATTTTTGTAAATGTAATATGGAGGGGGTGGTTTGGACGCAATACTTCATAAAACATGTTAACAGATTTACTTAATTCTATATGTCTAGTTAAATAATCATAAATTTCAATAATTATTCAAACTTTTTAAGTAAATACAATCTCAGATATAAATCAAATGTCCGAATAAATTAAAAATGTCTAAATTCTAAACAACTTGACTTTCATTTTTGATATTATTTTTAATACTAAACTAGGTGGGGAACCCCGGCGTTGCGGGGGTCACATAAGACAATTTTTTCCCTTCTTTATTCTTTGTAAATGTTATTTGAGGAACTATTTAATAGCTTCAAGATAGTGTATGGGATGTTTGAATTGGTTTTTGAAAGTGATTATGTATTTGCCTAAAATTTGCAAATGAGTTGTCAATTTATCTAAAATTTGCAAATGAGCTGTCAACTTAGAAGTGTGAACTTTTTTTTGGTTTTGACATGAGTAATAATTAATTAAAAAGAAGTAAAGAATGAAAGTGTTTTTTTCTATTAAGGAAATAACAATGTACTTGGTTAATGTAGGTTTTATATTTCATAAATAGCAATGTAATTGCAAAGTTCTTTGTTTTTTGTTTAAAAAAAACAACCTTCTCCTAATTTTTGAGCATGTATAATCACAAAAAATGAATAAAAACATAAATAAATAGTATCATAGTTGTATTCAATGGTGGAGTTTTGGTAACAGCCATGAACGGACCAAATTGCATTTTTTCCCATGACATGATGAATTCGGAGAGTGACATCATTCTGAGCTATCACTTACACAAATGCACAATATCCCTCCAGCAAAATAGTGAACTTTAAAATTTTGATTTTTCTAATATGCATTCCCCACGTATTACATACACCTGCACCAACATAATGGAATTGATTATGGAATGCATCTTCTCACTGAAAAATAGAATTAGTAACAAAAGACAATGTATTTTGATTGCTAGAAGCATACAAATCTTCAAAAGGGAGATATGTGATAGAAGAACAGTAACAAAAACTTGTAAATGCTGACATTATTCTGTGGAAGAAATTACTGGACTTTCAAACAGGGATAAACAGTTTGGCGCAAATCCGGATCCCGTACCGGTAACGTACTTGAACCGGTAGCGAACCGTACCGAATTTTAAAATATAGGGCGGTACTCGGCTACAACAAATGACCATAATAGTACATGGTTGCAGCAAATGACCATAATAGTCAAGTGTAGAGGTTTTTTGATTTCATCAACTTACTTCTTGGTTATTTCCGAACGAATCACTCGCTTTCCTGTAACAACAATATAAGATATGTATACATAATTTTCAACGGTTTTCATTTTTAGATGGACCTTCTTCATTGCATGATTTGCATGAAAACGATCCAACAGATGCCATCTTTTTTTTGTGTGCTTGGAGTATTAACCTGTAAATTAAGTTATAAGTTTTTTGAACAAAAAAGGGTAGAGGGTAAAATAGTAATTTTATTATTACCTTTGCAGTGTTGAAAACTTCTATCTTGCAGTCTTGGAGGATGCTAATGGATAAACACTTGCAACATCATAAATATACACCTGGTTTATATCTTTGTGATTAATTAATCTTTTTGTCAAAATCATAAAATGGTTAATTTATCTGATGAATCTTGTGTAATTGGAGGGCTATAACAAACAAAATGATAGTATTGGTTTAATATTTAGCAAAAAATAAAAAATGTTGCAACCTTGCAATTATAGCTCCAAATATAAAGAATTAAACCGGGTTGCAATGACGGTTACCTTGCATAAAGATGTGTTATTTAAAGTTTGAATGGCTTTCGTTAATCTAAAAAGTATCTTCAAATAAGAATATAGGTTCAACTATTAAATGGTGATAATAACAACCTTCTTTCATCTGTTGCTGCAAGTGTTTTCTTTTATCTTCTTTCAACCACACGTACCCCCGTCATCTCACCAAGATACACAACGACCTATAAACTCCAGAGTATATGCTATCATTATTTGTAATATTAATATTTTTTAATGAATATAAGTCATACATACATACAATTGTAATATATCGTTTTTAATTAAATGATTCAACAATTTTTTATTTTTATAATACGGTAAATGCATAAAAATACCTCTACAAGAGCATCAAAATAAAAAATGTCCCAGCTGTTCAAAGATTTTTTCATTTTTTAATTAATTAACAGTTGTCACACTCTCTGTTAATATATCTAGGAATCATGTAAACCAACCTTAACACGACATCTGGTTCAAATGTGGAGCAAGGCAGCAAGAAGGTTATTCAAATCACCTGTACAATAGCCACAAACTAAGAAACCCTAAAATCTAAAAAATCACATTAAAATTATAGATATTTGAAAAAAGAATAGAAGCTTTATATTAATCTGAGCACCATCGCATCAATTTGATTAAAAAACTAACCACATCGATGTCTTCTTCTTATTACTGTTCCAAATGGAAAAAATAAGAGTAATAAAAAAAGAAATCTTCACCTTCCAGTCATAACCCTGAAGAAAAGAATCCATGGACAAAACCAAAAGCAATATTCTGAAAACATAACTGTACTAACCTCATATGATATTTTTACCAAAAACTTATAAAACTGTAGTTAAATCTGTGTGCTCATAACACCGCAAACCCATCTATCCATACTAATCTGGGGAACAAACAGCAAACCAAACGTTCTCAAATCTAGAAAAACAAATTAAAAAGGCAACAAATCAGGGAACATACCTGATTTCATAGCTAGAGGTGGATCTGGCACTATGATTAGCAAAAGTGAGAAAAAAAAAAGGACTGACTTGGACATCCACTGTTTTGATTATCTGATCTCATCCAACATTTCCCTTTCCTACTCGAAGAAGGTGTAGATGTGTTTATGAACCAACTTCGAGCTTGATTAAAAAAACAAATAGATTGAATGCACATTAGAAAAGGATATGCAAACAGATACTGATTTTCACTACTAAGCTTGCTTTTATAGGGTTTTATACTTTCTAAAATGAATCAAATTGGGCCAAGTGAAAAGTTTTACAATATTGCTAGATCTGTATAGGTTTCAAGCTTTTATTAAGTGAAAGTGGAACCAAATGCATCTACATAAGCAAGTAAGTGAACTATTATTACAAACTAACTACAAAGTGAAAGTGCTACATATCTACTAAACATGCAACACGAGTAGTCTTTTCAAAACAATACAAAGGAGCCTACCACTCTGCATCCTCAGGAACAACACCAACTTCGAATGTCATCATGTGTGTTGCTCTTCCTGCAACATCATATCCAACACAATTGTTCAAACCGTCACCCTAAGTCCCACAATTTCACCAAATAATGAATCAAAATAAAGAATCTGAAAGGGGGCGTATGTTACATACCAGTGTAGAAGACCCAATGAACAGGTCGTCTAGTGACTACATCCTCATAGTAAGTAATGAAATCAACCTTCTCCCATACATAACAGAGGAAGCCGTCGACTTGTCGTTGATCGATGTAGGTGGCACCGTCAAGCCAATCAGAGATAAGGATCCTGACTTCCAGCTGAGCGGAGGAGCACTTGCGATTGGAATCGAGGGTATAGAAGAATGATGTACCATTGTTCCACTCCAGGTCGTACTTGATGTTTCTGAACTGATGTTGGATGATGTTAAAGTTATGGCCATTGGGCCAATCGTACCGAAGATCTATCAATTGAAGTTCGTCGGTGTAGTTCATGACCAGAAGTGAGTAGAATTACTCCGGCCATGGCGTTGGCTTGGGCGGCTCCTCCCCCTTTGTCGATAATGCTGCAATGGTGGTCAATAGTAAGATGGAGAGGTAGAGATTGACATTATCGTAAGTGCTTCTGCTTCTATCTTCAACCAGCGATCGACAATTACAACAACAATCTGCAGCAGAAGCACCACCAAAAGATCGACAACTAAACATTAGAAGCACACCAAGTCGGGAAAACCAATCGATCTGAGAAACCAAAGTGTGAACTACGGGGAAGAAACTCAAATCAAGAAGTGGTTTGAAGAATATCACTGAAGTGGATTTTACCTTAATGAAGGGTTCGTCTCCTTCTGCCCCGCACCTACCTTCGTCGATATTTCTGTGGATGGAAAAAATAGACGATGAAGAAATTAGATGAAGAAATGAGTCGGTCGAAGTGAGGATGAACGCCATCGGTGACTCCGATCTGAAAATCGGCAGTACTGTGCTTCATCATCGGTGGAGAGAAGATCGAGAAAAGAATATAAAAATAAGAAGAATCGAGAAGACTTGTTAGGGCTTGTAGACGATTTTGACGGGAGAAGAAAAATCAGAAGAACAAAGAAACTGAAGGACCAATATTCCTTACCATGGTCGAGGAGCGAACCCGATGAACAGTACCCTAGTTAGAACTTTGGTTAAGCACTATTCCTAAGAAGTGCTCCCCTTTAATATATATATATATATATATATATATATATATATATATATATATAAGAATATCCTAATATAATATATCTCAATACATCGAGTATAACAACATATATATAATTTGTAACATCCCGAGTCCAGGTATACCTCGAGAACCTTGATCTTTTGAGTTATTGTCATTTTTGGCCTAGATTATAAAAACAGTGAAAAACGAGTATACCTTGAGAACCTTAGGGTACGCTTAGCGTACTCATCAGTGTGCATACAACGCGGAGACCACCTAGTACGTTGGGCATACTCATGGGTACGTTGGGCGTACTAGGCCCAGAACCTATTGGTTTCGTTTTTCATTTTTTATACTTTTTTTGGGGTTTTGTTTTTTTTTATAGATTTATTCATCAACAAATGTTGTTAAAATTTAACAAAAATACATAATTTGCTAAACCATAATACAAGAAGAAAGTTTGTTCACATTTAGTCATTGAACTTTTTTTAGAGGGAAACGAACTTTCGATTTTGTTTACATTTAGTCACTAAACTTTTTTTCATTATCTATTTGTCACTGAACTATTAAAACTGTTCATATTTTACACTTATGACCGGTAACAACCGGTCATAAGGGTAAAATGTGAACAGTTTCAAATTCAATAGTTCAGTGTCAAATAGATAATAAAAAAAAGTTTAATGACTAAATATGAACAAAGTCGAAAGTTCATTACCCTTTCAAGTCATTAAAAAATAACTTATAACACGGTAAAGTCACCATAAATAAGCCCCTATCCATATCCAAATATATTTTTAGTTTATTCGTTTTTTAAAAAGAAATGTGTATAAATGTCCTTATATTTTGATTTTATTGTCAATAAAATATGTAACACCCCAAATTCAGAAGGTCAAGAAAGGATAGAAAACCCCAAGTCAAGAGGTCTACTCGTCGAGTCCAGGGAGGAATTCGACGAGTGGGAGCGAGTTCCATGTCGCGGATTAAGTGGTGGATTCGGCAGTCGGGGGACTGACTCGGCGAGTCTGGTCTGGGTTGGGAAACCCTAATTTTGGGACTTGGTGCCCTATTTAAACATCATATTCTCATTCCCTTAGCCTCATCTTCAGCCCCCATACCCCAAACCCCCACCCACGAAACCCTAGTGCACCTTGTGAGTGTTTGAGACACCTTTGTGTGATTTCTGTGCTCTTGAAGAGGAAGAAGGAGAAGAAGGAAATTGGAGGTTCAAGAAGGAGGAAGTAGATCCAAAAGATACACTACAATGGCTGCATTTCTGTAACGTCCCAAATTTCGAGTCCAAAAATTCATTTTTAATTAATTGATTTATAAAACATTTACTGAAAATCATGTTAATATCACAATGAACCATAAATCATTCAAAATATGTTCCAAATCAAAACGCCAATAGTAGTAAAATCATAGTACAATCCCATGAATCAATAATGTGGAAATCTGATGTGCGTGTGATGTGTAGCTACCGCACCGGCTCCTTCCCCTTCGTTGAAGAGGTACCTGAAACAAAACTGAAAAATGTAAGCACGAAGCTTAGTGAGTTCCCCCATCATACCACATACCATACAAACATAAAACATAAATACTGTCAGGCATGTCTGGGTGCCCGACCTACCCCTTCAGTCCTTTCGACCGGACATTGCCTAGCATATCTGGGTACTGGCCTCCCCTTCGGTCCTTTCGATCGGACATTGCCTAGCATATCTGGGTGTTGGCCTCCCCTTCGGTCCTTTTGACCGGATATTGCCTAGCATATCTAGGTGATGGCCTCCCCTTCGGTCCTTTCAACCAGACATTGCCTAGCATATCTGGGTGATGGCCTCCCTTTCGGTCCTTTTGACCGGATATTGCCTAGCATATTTGGGTGCTGGCCTCCCCTTCGGTCCTTTCGACCGGATATTTTGGGGAATATCTCCCCTAATACTACTATCACATATTGTAACATCCGGATTCCCAGGTATAGTTATTTAGTTGTTTATTTTGTGATATGAGGAGTGACTCGATGAGTCAATGCCCTAACTCGTCAAGTAGGATCGCGAATGATGACTCAGATTAATGAGTGGACTCGACGAGTCCGTGTTGTTGACAGAAACCCTAAATCCTTGGGCTTGTGCCCTATTTAAGGGTCCTTATGGCCTTCATTTGCGGCCACCCTTTCAGAGAAAAGAACCCTAGCATATTTGATCATGTGAAGTGAGAGAGAGAGAAAGAGAGAGAGAGAGAGAGAGAGAGAGAGAGAGAGCCATCTTGAGCCATTTGTTGTGATTTTGCTAAGGAGGAGAAGTGATCCAATAAGAAGGACCAAAGGAGGTTGTTGTTCTGATACTTTCAAGCAAGGAGACTTCACTTTGAGGTAGCAATTCGGCCCTTTTCTCTTTATTATGTAGGCTTATTGAATCAAGGGTTTCTGTAGCACCTGGTTCCATATGAACGGTATTCCGGTTCAGGTGTTGTTCGACTCGGGTGCCACCCGGTCATTTGTTTCCCTTGCGCTTAGCAAGAGGTTTACTAAGTCCTCGGGCATGTTGGATTGCCCTTTAGAGGTAGAGATTACCGATGATCGATCGGTGCGAGCATCAACAATGTTCAGGGATTGTGTTTTGAGGTTATTTGAGGAGCGCTATTTGGTGGATTTGGTTCCCATACCGTTGCGGGGGAACAAGGTGATTATAGGCATGGATTGGTTGAGCCATAATGGGGCGGTGATAGATTGCGCACAGCAGCTAGTGCGGGTCAGGACCCCAAGTGGGGGAGAGTTGGTGATCCACGGCGAGAGGCCACAGCGTGGACCTATAGTATTTTTATATACGGAAGGGTTATTTGGAAAACAAAAAAACCTTAAAAATCATAAAAATGCATAAAAAAAATACCAAGACACCACAAAACTTTTTTTGAAATTTTTTATCAAAAAATCGCAGTATTTTTTACAGTTTCGTTGAAAAAAAAAATCAAAAATCACAAAAATATATATATTTTTTGTAAAAAAAAAATTTCAAAATTTTTTTCCAGCGATTTAGACCTAAAAGTTGCGATTTTTTGATAAAAAAAATTCAAAAAAAAGTTTTGTGATCTCTAAGTATTTTTTTTATGCATTTTAATGATTCTTTGGGTTTTTTTTAGGGTTTTTTTGTTTTCAATAGAACCTCTCTCTCTCTCTCTCTCTCTCTCTCTCTCTATATATATATATATATATATATATATATATATATATATATATATATATATAAACCATGCGTTATAAACTTAATATTTTTAACCCAATAATTTAATATTTGTCTATTTGGCCCAAAAACATTTAGTTTGACCTATGCAACCCTTTTATCCATAAAAATAGCACTTTTAGTCATTTTTTAATAAAATGATATTTTTGGTCCTTAAACCATTTTTCTAGGTATTTTTGACCCAAACTTTATTTAAATAGTAATTTTTGCTCAAACTCTTGTATTTGTCATTTCCAGCCTTTATTTGTAAAATTTTTACATTTTTGGCTCAATTCCGTAAGTTTTACAATTTTGCCCCCAAAATAAAAAACTTTACAATTTTAGTCCCATTTTTTGCATTAAAGTCATTTTCAGCCCCTAAAATAGTTTATTTACATTTTAGACTCATAGTTTGTTAATTTTGCCATTTCAGTCTCTCAAAACTTCATTTTTTTTGCAACTTTGAGCCAAAAAACTCATGAGGCCCAAATTAAAGCCCAATAAGCTAAAATTTATGTTTTTGACCCCTAGAAAAGTGTTGTTTTCATAAAAGTCATATTTTTATGTGAATAATACCATTTTATCCTTACATAATAAAAAATGTCATATTTAACCCAAATCTTTGTTATTTTTGCAAAAATGACACTTATAAGGATTTTGACTTTGTTTTCACTTCTTGAGCCTAAAGACCCTTAGATCTTTGAAGTAAGTTATTTATTATGTTATTTGTTCATGTATCCTTCACACTTTAGCCATATATTTCGAGATTTTAGCAAATAATATCATATTTTCACAGCATAAACCAAAGAAATCACATGTAACAAGTATACACACATAGATCAACACATAGTACTTGTATTCTCCCCCAAAAACATGTGAAAATCGAAAATAAGGGATGTGAACTCACCTTGGGTTTGTTGTTTTGGTTTTTGTGAAGAAAAGATGGAGGTTTCGGCCTTGATCACTTCTTGAAGAGAGTTTTGAATCCAAGATGATCTTTAGAAGCTTAAATCACGAATGAGAGTGGTTTAAAGAGAGATTCCTAGACTATACTTGAATACAAAGTATTGGAGTTACACAATAACTTACCAAAGATTGCAAATACTTGATTAAGATCCTTAGTGTTGGGCTTTAAGCATTCTAACACTCCTAAGTGTACATGCAACCCTAAATACCTTAGATCTATGTTTTCTCTACTATAAATTCAAATATGATCTTTCCAAGGTATTCATCCTAACTAGCATAATAACATTGATTCAAATGAATATATCAAGTTAGAATTACATACCTCTTTGATGTAGATTGTCTTCATGAAGCTTGAGTGCCTAGTGCCCCAAGTGTGACACCTCAAATGGTTCACACAATACCAAATACACATGGAATGACTTGAGAGAAATTCACACTTCATGAAAATCGGCTAGCCCTTCCTATCACTCATAGTGGCCGATTTTCTCCAAAATTAATAAGATCATTATATAGTTAGGGTTACACCATGTAAACCTTAATTGTCATGGCCTTTCATGTAACAACCCAATTTTCACGTCCAA